AGGAGAGATCTGACCAGTATACTACTAGAGGTTTGGTAAGAACTCAGGAGAGCAAGAAAAAAATTGGTGGAGCAGATGATGTTTGCATTGGGGATATAAGGAATGCAGAAAGCATTATTCCAGCAATCCATGGTATCGATACTCTTATAATTCTCACAAGTGCTGTGCCAAAGATAAAACCTGGGTTTGACCCAGCTAAAGGTGGAAGGCCGGAATTCTGTTTTGATGATCAAGCATATCCTGAACAGGTATCAACCATAACCCAGAGTGTGTTTGGCCACGGATAAAAAATTAGAAGTTACTTTGAAATAACTTTTGTTTTCAAACATGTTTGGTTATTTTAATTTCTTTTTTACTTTCAAGCGAAAAATGTTACTTATTTTGAAAGTACTCTTACCTTAACCTACTTAACTTCAACCTTGACCACTCAAAAAAGTTATTTCAAACTTACTTATTTACTAAAAAGTAAACATTTTAGCTTAGCCAAAAATTGTCCTAGCAGAGTTTGTGTTCGAGGTCCCATTTGACAGTACTGTTACCTTAACCTACTTATCTTCAACCTTAACCACTCAAAAAATTTATTTCAAAACTCACTTATTTACTAAAAAGATAACGTTTTAGCTTAGCCAAAAGTTGTCCTAGCAAAGTTTGTGTTCAAGCTCCCATAGTACTTCATCTCACTGATCTTCAGCATATATTTCTAGGTTGATTGGATTGGGCAAAAGAACCAAATAGATGCTGGTGAGGAAAGATATTAATTTTACAGTTTCTAATAAATTCCTTACGCTGTACTGTACTGAAATATGTGATATATGGAATGAACAGCAAAAGCTGCTGGAGTGAAGCATATTGTGTTGGTTGGATCAATGGGAGGAACTAATGAAAACCACCCTTTAAACAGCTTGGGAAATGGAAACATATTGGTTCGTATTCCCTTTACCTAGACTCTCTTTTTTTTATTGCCTCTTTTCATCTACTGCTTCTCTCTTATGTCGAATTATCGAAGTTGCGTCCCTGCATTTCGATTGTTCTATGTCGGTTTCTTCTTTTGGTAGTTTTCTTTCCTTCTTCCACACTCTTCCTTTTGGTTGTCTACGGGGATTTCAATCTCATTTTTCTTGGAAGCTGAGATATTGCCAGTATCTGGCTTCTCAGGTGGTATAATAAAAAATTGAGTTCCCATCCTATATATTCCCCTTATATTTTTGAAGAAAAATAAAAAATTTCCGGCTAATCAAGTCTTATTTAAATGGAGCGTTTTACATAATCTTTACGTCAATAAAGAAAAAAAAAATCCTGGTGTATGTTTATGAACAAAAAGCATTGCTTTATGGCCAGTTGAACTTGAGTGACATGGTTACTCGACCAGTGCTTATTTTCTCTTATAAACTACTTGCTCTCTTCTTGACTTCCATTGAAAAATAACTTTTATTTTGAGTACAGATTTGGAAGAGAAAAGCAGAACAATATTTGGCTGACTCTGGAATTCCGTACACCATTATCAGGTATGCTTATTTATACTCACTTCTAAACCCTGCTAAAAGATTTTACACAAAATCGCATGGTGCTTTAAGATTTAATAGGAACAAAATTCAGTCATAGTCTCTTAACAAAAATAAGAATTAATATCCATTCAATCATCATAAAAAACTAAAAATAATACGGTAGATCTCTGTGTATGCGACTGAAGATCACAAATCAGTGTATGTGACCAAACCATTATGGTATTTATTAACAATTGTGTAGTAAGCTTCGTAATAATTCACATTTGCCAGTTGTTTTCTATACTCTGATAACCTCACAAATGTTAAAGGATTTGTCATGGGAAGATCTAGGGACTCATTTCTTTTCTAAACATTCAGTTAATCAATCGTGAGGTTATCTAAGAAAACTTACAAATCAGATGTTAGCTCATAATCCCATTATAATCAACTATGAGTATATTGGGCTTGAAAATCAGATGTTGATACTATTGATGATTAAGCCCTACTCTCAACATCGAGAGCAAGAATAATGGTAAAACCACAGATTTATGGTGGCTCACTGTCGGCTTGCTGCTACAGATTTTCACTACAATGAAGAAAGTGATTATAAAATTGTCCTTGTAGCTCCTCATCATAGAGAAAAGCTGCCCCCTGGATTCCTTATATGGGGTTGTTTGAGCCCTATTTTTTTTCCTTAAATGTATTTTGCAATAGTGTTATGATGGAGAATGTGTGGTTAAAAAATAAGAAAAAGTTTTGGGTTTGCGTGTAATATTATTTTATTGAAAAATGTGTGGTAGAAATGGGGTCAAATCACTGTTCAATAATGCATTTTGATGGAAAAAATGGGACTAAAGCAAGGGCATAATGTAGGATATTAAGGTAACCCAATACAAAATTATGAATGTCCAGTGTACCCTTATACTAGATCAATCCACGGTCTGTGGGGACAAGTGAGTTGTATAAATAATCTCCACAGTCCAATAGATACTTTAATCCTATACTCAACGCAAACTTGCTGAGAATTCATGCTCTTAACATTTCTCATTCAGCTTGTTCATAATTTGGCAATTACCTGTCATTTCTTTGGTTGGTGTAGGGCTGGAGGCTTGCAGGATAAAGAAGGCGGTGTAAGGGAGCTACTTGTTGGAAAGGATGATGAACTTCTTCAGACAGAAACAAAGACTATTGCTAGAGCCGATGTAGCAGAAGTCTGCATTCAGGTAACTACTTGTAGAACTTTATGTTACAGATTAAACCCTAATTTCTACTTCTAGGAGCAATAATAATCTGAAAAGAAGCATTATGGTTCTCCCTGAATGTGAAGTCTTTTATCTGCATTGTATTATCATGGTTTCTCGTCGGTTTTAACGTATTTGTTACAATGAAATCTTACAAACAGGCACTAAACTTTGAAGAAGTAAAATTCAAAGCATTTGACTTGGCCTCAAAACCCGAGGGAACTGGCTCGCCAACTAAGGATTTCAAGGCTCTGTTTTCCCAGATCAGTACTCGATTCTGATTAATAAGCTTATCTGTTTCCAGTTGTCTGCACGTTGAAGTAACTTCAAAAATTATGTTTGAGCAAAAAAAGAGCTCTCTTCTTATTTACATGATAAGATTGGGTTTGTTTGTATATCTATGATGCATAAAAACTTTTATGTGCAATCCAAAGTTTGATGTGCTCACTAGGCATTTCAACTATGGATGCCGTTGGTAAATGAAATTGAGAATAATGTTGGATTTGAGCTTTTACTTCACACTGCCTGCCCTTCTATACTAAGCATTTCCCTTTATCTTGCTGTTACCATATTGAGAGTTGTTCCTTTTGATTTGACTGTTGAAGTCGAATTGATATCTGTTTCGTCATCAACTGACTGGACGACGAAGAACTCTCAATCTACTTGGTATTGTGTCCAGAGCAAAATGACTTGTCTTAACTAGTGTGGTGGTCAAGATTCAGATGACACGAATCAATACTAAATAGCCATGAATATAAAAACTATGCCTATGTTGAGTTCCATTTTTCTTTTAAACTTGTTTTCAATCGCATATTTCCCCATAAAATAATTTTACACGTAAACATAAAACTTTTCACTATTTTTCAACCACACATTCTACAAAAAATCACTATTCCAAAACCTTTTTTTTTTTTTTTCTCCAAAAAATGGGCTCAAACAGGAATTAGAGAGTGATCCAAAAGGTAGGCTAAAGCACCTTATAGTTTTTTGCTCAATCAATTTAGGAAGTTGAAAGTATACTTGACATGGAGTAGAAGAAGGTTTTGAATGAGAACTGTCACTTGATCTGGATCTTGCTAGGTAGGTATTGAGAAGGTAGTTTTTTAATACTTCGAATAATTTTTCAAGAGATTACAAAAATGTATCGACTTATCTTGGGGTCGAGAATACTATTGTCCATCAACACACTCAAGATGTTTAATTTCAACTCCAATATGTCGTCTTGTGAAGATATCATGTTGTAAGGTGAATAATGTATGAGAAATGCTACACTTACAACCTTGTTACACATACATTTTGACGGCCCTCTCACATGGGGGGTGGGGCCCACAATTGCGGGCCCACACCCATGTGAGAGGGCTGTCAAAGTTAATGTGTAAAAATACTGTACATTCAGCATTTTTCATAACGTATTCACATTAATTCCATTTATTATTGCCTACTCTATAATTTCTTCGCTAATATGGCGGTTCCTTTTTAAAATCTCACGAAATTGGCGGCTATATCCGTTATAATATATTATCTTGAAAATAATATGTACCATTATGTTACTTTGCGAATAGAATCTGAACTCTTCTAGCTTTAGAAGGATTTTTCAAAGGTCAAATGAGGTTATTGATAAAACAAATAATTAATTAACAGTTTTATGACCTTACCAGTGCTTGTAGAAAAATTCATACATAAAAAATACAGATACTCACATGGGGTTATGTTATGGGTACATAGCCCATAAAATAATGGTGTCTATAATGAACATATGGAGGTTCCCGCAGGCACCCCCCTAATAGAGGGTCTCCATGTGCCCATTATGGACATTATTATGAGAAATGCTTCCCTACTCACATGGGGGTGGGCTCCATGTGAATTAAATATTACCACAAAAATGGAGTCCGCTTATTTGTGTGTCACCTGTATGCTTTTTGCGTGTTTTTTTTTTTTTTTTTGTACACGAACAATTTCAAGTTTGCAAGTTCACACTATGGCAGAATCATAGTGCTTCCATTCATCACCAAGGTTTAAAGACGAATTATTGACACATAAAGTTTGATGACCTTACCAGAGTCTGGTAAGCCTTGCTGATGGAATAATTTCACATTTGCAAGTTCACACTGTGGCAGAATCATAGTACTTCCATTCATCACCAAGGTTTACAGACGAATTATTGACACATAAACATGCTCAAACACGTGACGAACCATTCAATATACAAAATTTTAAACTTCTTTTTCTTCCTTAATTCCGTTCAATACTGTCTCGGGGACATGTAATTAGTTTCTTAAACAGGTTTCCAACACGAAAGGGCGTAGATTGTCCGTCCTTTCCATCCCAGCAACATCCACTGACTGTCTTCATCAATGACAAAGTCTTTGTGGTAGGTTGATCTTACCTTGTATTTTGCCTTGTTCACGATCTCCCTTTCAAAAGGGATTTGCAAGAAGCCTGCCTTCAAGTCGCGGACTTGCCATTGCTTAAATGTCTCTGGCCTTTCGACTCTCTCCCAGCCTTCACAAGCTATGACATTCAATGCTTCCCGGCCAAAGATGTCTCTCTCGATTAACATTCTCTCTGTTTTTTCACGTGGTACATTAGTTTCAAGCATATCGAATAGGGCTGAGAAGTGAAACAAAGCCTCCCGGAACCTAGTGACAAAGAATGGGGCACCGTAAGCCCCATTGACAATCCCATGAATGAAGATGTCCGGATTCATCTTCCTGATCAAGTTCAGAACAGCAGTTCTTGAACTCTCTGCCATCACAGTCTCATCAGGTAAGTTCTCCGTCCGATACAAACAGTTGACGACAAGAAACTCATCTTTCTCAATCTTAAGTTCCTCAATTTTGATGGTTTCCCACTTCTTTGCAATGGCGTTGTACTCAAAAGGTACATTGAAAGTCTTTGCATAATCTGCCAATCGACGACCAGTCTCCTCTATTCTTTCGGCTGGTCGGAACCCAGGTTGGGGCAACTCGATGCCAGTAATCCTAACTCTTGGAGGTCCACCTTCTCTTACAGAAATGCGTTGCAAAAACGTGGGCCATTGGAAACCATAGAGGATGCCAAAATCTATAACATGAACTCGCATTGCATTTTGTGATTTGATATTAATCGTCTTGTTCGAGGCAAATTTTGAAATCTTCGTGAATGGAGACGACGCAAGATATAAATGATAAGCTTTCAAATAATCAGCAGCAATTGTTCTTCTATTGACGAGGGCCTTATGGATCTGGCTACCGGTGCCGGCCAAGCGTGCTTCTAGGCCACCAGCAAAGCAGTGAGCCAATCTCTGATTTCCATCACCGAATGGAGACGAGTGCTGCCTGATCTGTTTCAGCAGTTCATTAGCACTCCGATGATCATCAGCAGCAACAGCCTTCGCACAATTAATTAAGAGGGCTCTCAAATCCACGACTTCCTTTTTGCTATTCCGGTTTTTGCCACGGCCCTTCACTCCACCAGATCTTTTCATTTGTCCATTTTGCTGCTTACACTTACTGGTAGCATTTTGCAACTCCTTCCTATAAGCTGCCAATCTAACCCCACCATCCCCCATACTATGAAGCAAGACAATATCGAATTCCTCTGATCGAATAGTAGATTCTGAATAGATGGCTACCAGCTTGTTACTTCTTTCTTCTTCTAAATCCGTTTCTCCACTATGCGGATTCTTCCTCCCCCTCGACTCAGATGATGACTGTTTGTCCTCATCTTTCTTCTTCACCTTAACTACTTCTCCATCGTATTCTCCATTTGAATCACGAGTTCCATTAACGTCTGTACTAACCAACAACCTATTCCCACTTGGAAGAAATTTACTTGCATCTTCAGCCCCCTTCCTGAAATCACACGCACATCGACTCTCATTACACATATCAGATACCTGAAGAGGACTTGCAGGAGAGTCTGAGAACCCATCTACAATACTCTTTAAGCTATTCGACGAGCTAATAGACGAACTGGAAGCATTATGTACTGTATATAACTGAGCATGACATGCATTAGAATCAACATGATTGTTAATCCACCTCGGGCCAATTACATCTGTTAGGTAACCACTACCATAACCATTGCTACTCGAACCATTATGATGGTGATTTCCTGGAAAGTAATCATCTGGGCTCGGGTTTTGTGCTGGTGAAGGAGGGTACTTCTTGCCGAGAACTTCGTATAATGACTTTTCTTTGGCTTGAAGATCTAAAGACTCTTGAAGCATATGTGTCTTTTCCTCCATATCTTCTTCCATAAGCACCTGATTAATGTATCTCAAAACTGCGTCCGATAAATCACAATCTTCTTGATAATCCTCCTCAACGCCCAAACTAGAATTCGGGACTACACTACTCGTAAAGGGCTCATTTTGAATCATTTGGAAACCTTCAAATGTGTGTGCTGGTAAGGTATTCTGAAACCCTTGTTCATTGACTAGCTTCTGATCTGGATAAGTAATCACAAATCTAGGTCCATCGGCTAGTTTCTGGTCAGACAACTCGACTGCGGACTGATTTTCTCCATTCGAAGAAATCGAAAATTTACGAAAAATTGGATCCATTTTGATTTGGGAAACAATATCAAACTCTGGTCAACTACCAAAATTATAAATTATACTCTAAGCCACAAAAAAACATTAAAGACCTCGAACAAACTTTGTCAACACGCCAAATCCATGATAAAATACAATTTCTTAAGAATTTGATGGAAAATGTGACATAAAAGGGTGTCCTGAAAAAACACAGTGGTGACTGGTGAATAGTGATGATTACTAAGGTTGCGTTTGATTGTGATGGTGAAAAATAGGTGGATTTCCAGGGAAAGTAAGGGCATGTTCTCTTTGGTGTTTTCATGCCGTTTTCTGTTTTCAATTTTTCAAAACGGTGAAAAAAATGAATTTTTGAAAACATAAAAACAATTTGTATACAAAATGAAGAACAACCAAAAAGTCGTTTTGTCTGTTTTTTAGGCCAAAACGCTCAAAACTCAGAAAACACGGGAAAGAGGCTCATTTCCTCTTCTTCCACTGTGCCTGAGAGACTCAAGCCAAACCCCGCCTTCTTTCTCAACAATCGACCACAACCTGCCACCTAGACCACCAGCACCACTACCATTCGATCCTCCTCACCTCCCTCTTCAATCTCTTGTCATCGCCTAGCCATGGAGTTGCAGAAATAGCCCCAATCACCACCCAAAACCACTCTCCCAATCTCGGTTTTCGCCGTATTTCCACCACCNCGTCGGCCACCATTTCGATCGTGGACGACCACCACGCTACTCCTCTCAACCAGGCGCATCCACTACCACCATGGGTCACCTGTCATTTTGTCCAGATGCGAGTGAGCTTGTGAAATTGGATTCCGACTGATGAATCGAGGTGAAGTTCAATACTCTGCATATACTTCTGTAAGTTAAGATGAAATTGGAAATGGTTATTGGGGGGTGATTGGAATTGGAATTGTTTATGATACTTTATTTCTCTTGAATTTCTGATACGAATGTTTATGACTTTCTTTTTGCCTTTAAAACTGGCTGCCTCTGGTTGGATGATGAAATTCTTAGTGTAGTTAGATTTTCTTGATTGTGAATATTGTTCATTGGTGTATTGAAATCGGATGGATGAGGAGAGAAAGAGGAAATCATGAAAATGTAAATTGGATAGATAGAGGGTAAGCGTACAGTTTGAGATTTCTGAAAAGTTTTGTTTTTGTTGTTGTAGTAGTAGAAGTAGAAGTTCACGAGAGGCTCGAGGAGGTGGGGGGAGTAGAAAACGTTGGCAATGGATTGGCACAAAGGTATAAAGAGGGCTATTACATTTGGCCACATAATGTATGTTCCAATGGATTTAAAAAACAGAGGTAAAACTTGGGTTGGGAACATATGTCACAGGTTCGAGTCCATGTGTAATGAGGTTGATGGTTTTATAAACAAGGTAATGTTTTTTATATCTTTT